TGTTGTGGAACAGACACTCCGACACAGATCAGGAGATGCGTGGTAGGATGTGGTTTCGGGGAAGGTTTTGCTGCTTGGGGTGTAAGGTAAATTTCTCTTCCATCTCCTTGGAAAACTTTAGCAATTGTTACCTTATTTATGTCCAGACTGGAGTTAGATTTCTGTTGGGGAAGCAACACGAGAAACACGCCAATCAGCTCAAAGGCAGGCACTGCTGCGGGGTCTGGGGGAGCCCCAGTAAATCTAGTCACCCTTCAAGGACCAGCTCTCGGCCCTCGTCCCCACACAGCAGAGCTGCCTTTGTTCTAGCAAAAACACCCACATCACAGTAGACAGATCATCCACACTGTTTCCACCACCGGCATCACGCTCGCTGTCAGTCTTACCTCTCCAGCTGGTTCTTAGATGAGCGTTCAGAATGGTCAGTGACCCCCATGCAAACACAAGTCACTCCTGTTTCTCCCTCAATCCCACCCTCATGGTGCTTAAAACATGCCCTGTGTACAGCAGGTGCTCCAAGCATGCTTCTGTAAACCGCGGACGGCTGGAAGGCCGGGCCCATCTCACGTTCCTTCCCACCAGCACTAAGGCGGCGCCGGCTGCACACCCGCCCCAGGCCCCCCAGAGGCTGGCCCCGAGCCTCCCGTGTCGGCGGGAAGAGTGATGCACACCTCGTCCCTCCTCAGTTTGGGGGAGGCTCACCCAGGGTCCTCTTCAGATGTCTCCCTTCTCACAAATGTTGGCCACAGCCCCGGAGGGTTTGGAAGTTGCTAGAAAAGCCCCGTGTGTAGGAGGGTCTGTGGCTGCTGCTCTGTCTGATCTGACGCCCGCCCTCGGGGAAAGGCGCCCCCGGGAAGCGTTTGGCGTCCCCGGCAGATCTAAACCAGGCTCCCAGGGGCTGTTTTCCTTAGGCGCCGAAGCAATGGAATCTGTCTGATGGTCTCCGAGAATCTCTTCCCACTTAATAAATTCTGTTTGAAAGGAATGGTAATGGTTTCAGGGACAACGTGTTCGAGATGGATGGGGCCGGTCAGGAGAACAACGAGTTCACAGCTGCCAGACCCGCTGACACTGGCTTTGAGTCAGGCCACGCAGGAGGACACATGGCCCATCTAGACTCTGGGAAGGTACAAATCTGGAGCTGGAGCGGGGCCATGTCGTGAGCAGAGGGATGGGTCGGGGCTGCCAGAGCCAGAGGACAGCACAAAGGCAGGAAGGCCAGTGGGGGAGCCCTGGGGGAGCCCCTCTTCGAGGCTGTTCCAGCAAATCGGGTCTTGAGAGCTCCTGGTTGCCAGCGCAGTGATACTAGCAGTGGGCCGGTAGCCAGTGACAGTGACAGCAGCCGTACTGCTTTGGAGAGTTGGCGCTGCTGAGGGCTCTGGTCTCAGAGGCCCCCGGGACTCTGGGGGGTGCCCATGTTCAAACCAAGAGGCAGGGAGCCCTGCTGTGGGCTTGATGCGAGAGGAGGCTCCAGGCACACCCCCATCACTGGGGATGGATAAACACCCGTGTAACGTGTTTCACACATTATGTTTTCATGTAACATGTAGTGGTAATAAACACAATCTGACATTTTTCTAGTACTTTACAGCTTACAAATCCTTTTGTGTATTTATGAGTTGATCCCTAAGTCTGGGAGCAGGAGCTCCCCCAGGCACTAATGAGGAACACTGGGGAGTCAAGGAGTGTACTTTAGATAAAGCTGGTATCATCGTCATTTCCATTTCACAGATGAGAACATTGAGGCCCAAGGAAGCTGGGGCTCCCTGAAGAGCCAGAAGTAATTAGCAGAGGCAGAATGTGTGTCTCTGGGCCCCTCCTCCCATTATTCCTACATTCAGCTGTTTATTGAACACATACTATGTACCAGGACTCACAACAGCCCTGCAAAGAAAATGCTTTAATAGGAGATCCACTGTGCTTGAATTTTTAGATGCACTTGGGGGAATAAAATCTGCTGGCCCCCTTACTCCTTTCATGAGCTCAGTAGTCCACCTCCCAGTGCCTGGGACTTAGTGCATGTGCCTTCACGTGCAGGTTTGAAATACCTGCATTGGTTCAGAAAAACTCTTGCAATTGTCTCCAGAGTCGGTGAAGGTGTCGGCAGGAGTTTAGGTCTTTGAAGACAGGCTCTGGCGTTTGTCACCTTCCCAGCGTGCTGCTGGGTGATAAGCGATGCTTTGCTCTCTGTTCTCTTCCTCTTTTTCTTCTTCTTCTTCTTTTGAGATTTGTTTTTAACGAAAAGAACTGGCAATTGGCAACATCCCTGAAGCTTTTTAGTAGGGCTCCTATAATGAGGTTTGCTGAAATTCTGGGTAGGAGATGTTTCCTCCATAGGCTCAGATGCAGGATTTTAAACTTTTGTGATGTCTGTGGCCTTTTTCCTCTGAGCCAGCTGGGTCTGCTTCTTCAAAGATGTCAGCCCCAGCCTTGCCAGGCTTGGAGTTTACTGCTCACGTTAGCGCATTATGTGGCGGTAAAAATAGGCCAGTGCTTTTTCTTCCCTCTCTTTAAAGAAAAAAGTGTGTGTGTATGTTTTCCAACATCCCATCGGTCAAAGGCAGTTGAAGCAATTTTAGCTCACTTTTTCCCCCAAAAGATTCACTCCAAGACTGACTCATTGTGGAACACGTCAAGGAAAATTTTTTCCTGTGAAAGTTAACTGCAGTTAACGAGGAGGGAGCTGTGGGCAGAAAGAATTCCTCAGTGTTTGCTGTGCCATCAATTACGCTGCAGTCTGACAAACACGTATAAAACACGTAACAGATCCATGGCCTGTTCCCCCCATGTCCAGATTATTATGAGGAGTGAACCCTTCTTTCCATTACAAATCTGCATGGCTTAATTTTCCCAGCTGTAATTTTCAACACGATGAAATTACACACACATGCACACATTATATTCGTTGAAAATACTGATGAAGAAAGTCTCTTAAAAACACATAAATCGAGGCGTCAGTTCAGCCATGAGTAAATTTGCTGTCTGCTCAAAAGGATGGGTTAGAGGCCTGAATGCAGAACAGCTTAAACGCTTTTTAAGCCAGCTCTGTGAAGACTGCCTTTTAGCCTATCTGTACTTGACTTCCGTTTCTTCCAAGTTCAAAAGTATCCTTATGGTCCTGTCTGCGAGCTCAGGCACAGGCATTTGTGGTGAGGTTTATGACTTCACCCGGTCCTTCCCCTCCTCCCCTCGCCCACTCCCATTTTATTACCCACCCCCATCTACGGACCTCCTGCTTCTCCTGGTCCTCAGTTCTCCCCTTCCACTGGGTCTTCTTTCCATGAGCAACTCAACATCCTCCAGGCGCTTCCATCTTAAGGTTGAATAAAACCCTTCTCTTTGCCGCATCGCCCTCCCTAAACACCGCACGTATTTTCTGCCCTTCACAACTGAGTTGCTTGCTAGAGCAGTCCACACTTGCGGTCTCCACTAGTCACTGCCCGAACAACAGCTGTGTGGGTTCCTGACCCTGCTCTGAGTTCATCAGTGACCTCTGCACAGCCAAAGCCGGGCCTCCTCTTCTGGGATTTTCATATAGCACTTGACAATGACCATCCATACATCTATACACCCATCCACTCATCCATCCACCCATCCATCCATCCACCCACCTACACATCCATCCATCTATCCATCCTTCTATCTATCCATGTATTCACTCACCTGCATAACCATCCATCCATCCATCCATCCATCCACCACACAGATGTCTGACGTGTCTCCGTTTTTGGATCCAGCCTCCTAGCTTCTGTGACACTGCTGTCTCCTGGTTTACTCCTGCCTCTCTGGCTGCCCTTCCTTAGTCCCCTCTCCCAGCATCTCTTCTACTTGCCCCGTAAATATCAGTGTTATCCAGGGCCCTGTCCTTGACCCTGGGGTTGCTCTCTGTCCACACCCTTCCACTTTTTGCCTCAACTTCTCCCTTGATACTGATGATGCTCGAAACTGAGTCTGCAGCTCAGGCTTCTTCCCTAAGCTCCAGAAACCCCCTGGGCCCCTCCACTATCAGGTCTTCTGATTCAAAGTTATCATCCTATCTGCAGCCCACTCTTCACTCTGTGATCAGAAAATGGCCCCAGAATCCTGGGGTGGGGGTCATCTTGACTCTTTTTCTCCTTTGGTCAAGTTCAGATCCCTCCCCTTAATGGCTCCTTTGTGCCTTCAGAGAACGGAGCCCAGTATTACCCAAGAGAGGGTCAGCTCGACCTCCAATCCACATGCCCCAACCTGCCTGCTTCTCACTGACCCGCACTGCAGCCCCTTGGTGTTGAAATAATGACAGCTAACATGTAATGAGCGCCTACTGTGTACCAGGTGCTGAGACAAGAACCTATGAGCTCAGTTCTAACATTACCTCAATCTTACAGATGGGAAAATCGAGGCCCGAAGTGGTTTCTCTTGGCCCTTCATGTGGACAGCCTCTTAGGGAGTCCAGCCTGAGGGGTCCAATATTGCTTTTGGCTGCCCCTTTGTGCTTGACACCACAATCCCAGAGCAGCTGCCAAGCCGACCCCCATCCAGCTCAGGTCAGAGTCCTGGGCTCTCATTCTTTTCTGCCTGAGTTCCTACAATTTTTGTTAATTTAAATTCTTTAAAAAGTCTATTAACTAAAATCCTCTGTCCTCAGGTGGTATGTTTCCCACACCTCCTCCTCCTCACTGCAGGAGGATTATTTCTTCAAAATGCTAATCCTGTCATGTCCCCTCTGTCTTAAAACACTTCAGTGACATCTCTTTGTTCTTAGGACAGACACAGTCTGGACTCTCGGCTGGGAGTGGGTTGTGGCAGCTCCTCTGACCTCTGCCCTCCCCAGGCAGCCCAGATTCCCTGCCCAGCCCTGCTGAGGCCCAGAGTCCGGCCTCCCTCCCGTCCAGCCTTCCTCCTTTAACATGTATCTCTCCTCTGTGCCAGCAAGCGCCGTGCTGGCCGCTGAGAGCAGAGGCGGCAGACACACTAGCAGACAAAGAGCAGGAGCCCTGCTCTCCAGGTTCACACACATGTGGGAGGAGCCACATCCTAGAACAGTTTTAATGCGGCGTGACAAGTACTGAAATGCATCGCTCCTGGGTTCCTCGATTCCCTGGTCCACACCCTGTGCCTCCAGCGCCCTCCCCTTCTCAGCTGCCTGCTTCCTGCTCGGCCTTTACACGCCGGTGGGGCGTGGTGCAGGGCTCCGGGTCCAGGTCATCTCCCGGGCCCCTTACTGGAGGCTGGTGGGTACCTTGGCCACATCTCAGGAACAGCCTTGGATGCCAAGGTAGGGTCTACATTTCATCCTAAAAACAAGAAGATGCCAATTAAAGACTGTAAGCTGGAGGGGGACAGGATTGGGTTGGTGGATGGAAAGGTCTTCCAGCTACTGTGTGGGAGAGGAGTGAAAAGAGGGGAGGAGCACCCAGAGCAGCAGTGCCAGCACCTGGGGCACGACGGAGCCCCGGGACAGCTCACAAAACACCCAGGCCGGGTGACTGCGGCGGGCTGGGTCTGCGGTGTGAGCAAGGCCACGGGAGTGACAGTGATTCCGCTGTCCAGCAGAGGTTGACAGCGCCAAAAAGGGGTAACAGTGATCCTTGATGCCTTAGTTCGGGTTCCCACGAGAGAGCGCCCCCTGGGGGAACTTAGAAACAATGCCCAGCTCTGGCCTCCAGGGAGTCCGGCGTAGTTTGTTTGGAGCAGGGCCCGGGTGTGTATACTTCTGAAAAGCTGCCGGGGTGATTCTGCCGCGGGCCCAGGGCTGTGGACCAGCCGGGAGCCGTGTTGCAGTGACCTGGGCGAGTGAACCGGACTTGGAGAGCACTGACGGAGAGTGGTGATGGCTTGCACCGGAGGACCTGAGGCAGGACGTGAAGGCCAGGATGTGCCCTGCTTTCCTGATTTGGTCAAGGAGGTGAAGGATGGCAGAATATTGCACCCCAAATACGCTGCTTTGGCATATTGATTATTTTGAGCTACAGACACCTGAGAAACAGTCAATGCAAAGAAAAGCTTTAGCTGAACTTCCTTTATCTGCCTAAAGACGGCTCCTCCAAAAGAAACATAACTGGTCATAAATCCCCTCCCTGGGACTTTCATCAGTCAGGGAAGACTGACTCATCACAGGACAGGAGACCAGACAGCGACACCGCATCCAGACAGACTCCGTCACAAACCGTATCTCCCGTCTAGTCTCCCGAGGGCCCATTCACCTGTCCCCAGAATCACTTACTCTCCCCTAAGAGGCCTATATCCCCCCGCCCCTTTCCCTATGAAGATGATATTTAAGCCTGAATTCTAAACCATCTCAGGGAGTTACTCATTTTTCCCTGGGTATCTCCTGTGTCTACAGGAGGTACACATGTTAATAAACTTATTTGCTCTTCTCTTGTTAATCTGTCTTTTATTACAGGAGTCTTAGCTAAGAACTCAGAACAGTTGAGAGAAAATGATTTCTCCTCTTCTACAGGGGCAAATGGTGGTCCCTCCCGACTGGGGTCAGTTCGCCAAGCCTCTGCTCTAATCCTCGCGCCGCAGCTAGGAACAGAGGATAAACTCATTACATAATGACACTATTTCAGTGTGTTCCATTTTTAAGAATGTCAGATCCTGCTGTCTGAGACCTGGGGAACCTCTGACAGTGCTACCCCAAGGGACTCCCTGTTCCAGCGGGGGATCTGGGCCCATGGAAACATGCTGAGCCTCCCACGAGGAAAGCATTGGACCAAAACCACAGGATGTGGGAGCGGAAAGGGCACCTTTTCTCTGTCGCCACGGGCTCTGTGTGTGTGGGAGGATGTGTGTGGGCTCATCCACAAGGGAGCAGTTTGTAGTACTGCAGCTCATCAATTCCAAAACACATTTCTTTCATACTTAACACTGAGCGACCAGCATGCATTATACAAACAATTGCCATTATTTAAATGGCAGTTTTTAAGATATATGAGTGGTACATCCAATAAAGGAATAGCTTGTAATCAATGACATCTTAGATACGATGGCATTATTTCGCTTTTATTTTTATAACCAGCTTGGAAATCCATTGAACAAGATGTCTGTCGGCCAAATACATCATCATCTGCTTCATGGAAATAATGAAAAATCTGCCAATGAAGAAAGCAAGCCCTTTGTCGGCTGAGGCTGTGACACCCACACATTGTTGCTGCCCTGAAACTTCAGGTCTGTGCTGACCCTCGGCAGGAGCCTAGGGACTTCCTGTGGAGACAGTGACCCTGGGGCTGGCAACCCTATCCCCAGCGTGCTGGGACTGCTTCTATGCTGTTCCTGCTTTTCCTTCTACTGTGTTTTCGTGACAGCTGAGGATCTGGGCTGGGCTGGGCAGTAGTTTGTAAACTTTACTGGGCAGCCACTAGGGCTCATCCACACTCACCACCATGGCGGTAGAGACTACAACACAATCTAAGGAGGCCAGACAAATAGGTCCTGCGTGCCTTCCACAATTTTCTTTAGGGCTGTGTTGTATAAATGGGTTTAAAATGGCCCCTGTGCACTGGCCCCTAGGCTGTTCACTTCTGCACAGTGGTACAGAACCACTAGCTCCATGCTCACCCGCACCAAAGTCAAATTTTTACACACCCAATGGCTTTAGATATAGCCCAGATAAGTTTTTTTTTAAACCCATTTAGAGCCTGCCTGCTTTTAATAACCTCACAAACCTGCACCCAACATCTGCTGGCCGTAGAGAAGACAAATCCCAGGTCTATAAAAGACCCCAAACTGTGGCTGCCCTTCGGAGCTCTCTGGCCTGAAGACTCTGCACCATGCCGCTGAATGACCTCACCTAGACATGTAGTGCCCTTGCTCTCTCCCCTTCTGGGTGGTGGCCCTGAGCCTCTGTCCCTGGAAGCTCTCCTGCTGCGAGGGACTCTCCCTCCCAGGTAACCTGTCCAAGTGCCATCTAAATAAAGCGCGCTGTGTGCACTGCCACCTAGTGGTCATGCTCTTTTCCTGCATCAGCCCTGAAATCCTGGAACTCACACAGTGTAAACAGACAGATAAACCTAATCTTAAACATGGACTCACCATGAGGCTTCCCTGGAGTCTGAGCAGCAGGGGTGATGACACCATTGAAACGCCATCGATTTTTACCTGAAGACAGAATATATGCAGGGGTCAATCATTACATATGCAGAAAGATTCAAGATTAAAAAAAATAGCATCCGCTCCCTTCATGCAAAGATAAAAACACATTAAAAATTACAGAGCAGGCGAGTGAGCACGCTCGGTTTGTTGCTCTCCTCTGCGGGGTGCGGAAAGGGCAGCCGCCTGGACAGTCCCAAGGGAGCTGACTCAGCTCCCGTTCCCAGGAAGAAGACTCCGCTCTCCCCAGCAGGGAATATCAATGCGCATCTCAGCCGGGGAAGGAGCAGGAGAAATAGTGTGCATCACTAGAGGCCGTTGCACTTGGGCTAGATGCCAAATGCGTGGATTATTGCAAATAAGACTCACAAAACTCTGTTATTAGTCCTATAATACAAATGAGGAAACGCAAACTCAGGAGAGTTCATTGACTGGCCCAAACTCACAAATCTAATCTGCGGAACCACTGGGATTCAAAACCAAATCAGTCCAACTCCGCCAGTGAGAGGTTTGACCACCTCACCCTGCTGCAGAAATTCCACCGGCCCAAGCATTTCACACCGGTTCTCATCAAGGGCTGGATGAAGGATGGAAGGGCTGTGGATAGGAATTGTGCCTTCTCCGTCTGCCTCCTCCACCGTTATGGGCAGAGGAGGGCGGGCAGGACTCAGGGGACAGGCAGACCCTGTGGACACTGTACATCCTGGAGGCAGATTGGGGTCCGGACCAACAATGGGGCGAGGGAGCCACAGCAGGGCTCTGCCTGCTCGCGGCCCAGCTCCACTGGCCCAGGGACCCTATCAGCCTTCCAGTCTCCTTGCTGGCTACCTCCAGCACCTGGGCCACGGGATTCCCTAGCCAAGCAAGACTGAAGCCCAAGTGATGTGATGGAACGGGATGCTGAGACATCAGTAGAAGATTCTAGTTCTTTTCCAACCCACAGCCAGGCACTCCCGATCTGTGTCAGACCAGCCAGGAACACCTCACCCCTCTCCCATCTCTGGAAGGATTGACCTTCCCTGTGCTGGTTTCCTAGGGCTGCTGTGACAAGTTCCTACAGACTGAGTGGCTTAAACAATAGGCTTTTATTGTCTCCCAGTTCTGGAGGCTGGAGGTCCCAGATCAAGTGTCTGCAGGTTCGCTCTCTGGAGGTTGAGCTTTTGAGGGGGTGCAGTTCAACACGTGATGCTCCATAGCCCACATTTTTTTCGTTTCTATGATGGTTTCCTTTGAGCAACTGGCCATTGTGGTAGGAGAGCCCCCTCACGTTCCCAAACCAGCTCCCGGTCCCCTCCCCCTGGGGCTGCAGGAGTCGCTCAGGCTTCTGGATGCATGTCGTTCAGTGTGTGTTGTTTCCTCTGAGGCCACAGAAGCCCCATGGCAGGGCCCGGGCTGCCTGCAGGGGACACAGGATGGACCCTTCAGATTGCTGCCCTGCGCGATGTTTTCAGGTAACACTGTGGCTCTTTTCACAGCTGCCCGGGCCCGCCACCTTAGGTAATGTCTCTGAGGTCTGGGCTCGCCCAGAATCACTCTCCTTCTGCACGTCTCCTGTGGGGACACAAGCACGCCAAGCCCCAGCTCCATGGGGGGCCCGGAAAATACCACTCAGAGGACTCAGAGTCCCCTCAGGGGCTGGAGCACCTCTTCGAGGGAGCACCCGACGGTCTGAGGACAACCAGGAATCACCACCTCTCCCCACCTTCAAGGCGGCTTCTGCAGAGAAGAGCAAAGCCAGGAACATTTCCCTGATGCCCTTCCTGCCTGGTTCCTGGTTAGAGTTTGCAAATGAGAGATGCTACTAAAGTTAGGAAGCAGGAAGAGGAAAGGCCGTCATTCTTTGGAGGCAGTTGCAGCGAGAGCTGTGGGAGCCGAGATTTGGGATGTCTTCCTGGAGTGCTCTCAGGCAACATCCCTGAGCTGCTGCACAGGAAGCGGGTGGGAGCTTCCTAAAGGCTTTTGGCAGTGATGTGACTTCCGGGTCCGCCTACTTGCATGTTGCAGGCTGGCCTTTGGCATTGACCTCCCTGACCTCCACTCTCTTAGGTCTCCCTCTGGTTCACTGTACCCCTTAATTCTCTAAATTGAAACTTTGAATGCCTAGGGTGACTTCTGTTTTCCCAGCTGAATCCTGACTGAAACAAAAAGAAAGAGCAGATGTGCAGGGAGGGCAAATGTTTGCAGTCAGCTCCGAGAGCAGGCGTCCTCTGGTGGTTTGCTAGGACTGGGCGGTCACGTCTTGGCAACGAGGGAAGAACAAGGGAGATCCCAGCAAAGTGAGCAGCCTCCCTGAGCAAGCATTTCAGTGGCCCAGTAAGAAGAAGCAGAGCCAGAAAAACACAGATTTGCATGGAGTGGGGGGTGTAGCCAAGTGGCAGCCCACATGCTTTGTGTGCACAAGGTTCTGGGTTTAATCCCCCATGCCTCCCTTAAGGGAAAAAAAAATCCCAAAAATTAAAAAATAAAATTACCCCCCCAAAAGAGAAAAACGCAGATTTGAATCACTCACTAACAGTCGCCCTGCTTAACCTGAGTCTGAGTTTCCTTCTTGTAAAAGAGCGGAAGATCATCCAATGATTAGAGATCGTGAGTGGGGAGGTGACCACTCATCACCCGAGCCTGCCCTGGGGCTCAGGTGAGATGACTTAGGTGGACTTCCCAGCAAGGAGACCAGCAATAGAAGCGCCCAAAACATGTTCATTCTTTTCCTCCTTGGCAGAGACAGCCATTTGCTTAAAAAAAAAGATGCTCCCAGCAGCTTTCATGTGCCTTTACTCAGCCTGAGGCTACAGCTTCTAAATCTTCCTTGCTATTCAGAAGGAAGAAGGATAAGGAAGCAAAGGACAACCCCTCAGTGTCCGGTCAGCATTCCCCTGGGCTGGGGTGCGTCTCCTGCTAAAACAGCTCCCTGGGGCTGTGCATTCAGCCCCCCAAAGCAGGGCAGCAAGCACAGATTTAAATATAAACGTGAAAAGTAGAAAGACTCCGGAAGAAAACACAGAGGAATATCCTCATGACCTTGATACAGGCAAACATTTATCAGGTAAGAACACAAAAACACCAACTATAAAATAAATTGATAAATTGGTCTCCATCAAAATGAAAAGCTTTTCCTCATTAAAGAAACTGTTAATAAAATGAAGAGGCAAGCTGTAAACTGAGAAAATATTAGTGATTCATATGTCTGAGGAAGACTTGTACCTAGAGGGTATGAAAGACACTTGCAAATCAATGACGAAAAGATAAACAACTCATTTAAGATGGACCCAAGACATGAAGAGACAGTTATTAAGAGAATATGTGCAAATGGGCAACAAGCACGTGAGAAGGTATCCAACATATTAGTCATTAGGAAAATGCAAATGAAAACCACTCTAAGATACCACTTCACACTCACTAGAAAGGTTAACATGCAAAAGGTCGACCACGCCAAGTGCAGGCAAGGACCTGGAACAACTGGAACCTCATGCTTGCTTGGTAGTTCTGCAAAATGTTCTTCAACATTTTGGAAAACTGCTTGGCAATTTTTTTTTTCTTCAAAGTAATGTATCCTACCCTATGACCCAGCAATTTCACTCTGAGATATTTACCCAAGAGAAATAAAAATACAACCAGAAAAACATCTGTAAAAGAACGGTCCCTGGTAGCTTTATTTGCAGTAGCAAGTAACTGCAAACAACAAATCTCAACAGGAGACGGGATAAATAAATGGTGGAAAATCCACACAATGCGGTGAAAGAGAACAAACCGCTGATGGATGTGACCCCTTGAAGAATCTCAAAAGGTCATAAGTAAAAGAAGGCCGATGCAAAGGACTGACTGAATGATTCCGTTTAGGTGAAGTTCGGGAAGAGGCAAAAATCAATGCAGGCGGATGGAAGTCACGACAGTGGTTATCTGAGTTGGGGCGGGGGCAGGTACTAGCCAAAAAGAGTAAGAGGGCACTTTCCAGAGTGATGTCAGTCCTCTGTATCTTGACTGAGGTCTTGATGACATGGGTGTAGACAGTTGTCAAAAGGCACTGAAGTATATATAGTTAGGATCTGTCCATTTCATTTTATGTTTAAAGCAAACAAACAAACAGCTCAGGGATTTCCTTCTCAGATTTCCAAAGGCATTGCCTAAACTTCCAAAGAGGTCAGTTTCACCCCAGGGACAGAGCAGAGGAACTGAAGGCAGATCCAAGGAACCAGGGAAACTTGGATGGGCGATTTACACGACACAGCCCTGTCTCCATCAGCCGCCAGGTGTTAATGTGCATTTATTTTGTGCTAGAACTGTGCTACTAGTTTCTACATACTTTTTAATCCTGGGGGGGAAATTACAACAACAAACCAAATCCTGACGCTCCAAGCAGTGAAACCACACACAGACAGGACATCTCCGGGTTCCAAGCTGAGCGTTTCCTATGGCTGTGTCTGAGGTGGATGCGAGCTGGGGAACGCCTGCCCCAGGCTCACTCGAGGCTGCAGACTGAGTCCAGCTAGAGGCGGTGCCTTCACCAGCCAGTGCTCCCTCCTTTGTTGGACGCTAAGCCTGAAGGTCCTCCCAGGAAGCACCAGTGGTGACTCCTGGTCCCCTCTCCAAAAGGGCTCTCTTGTTTTCACAGTGTTTTCTGGAGCACAGAAACACTGGTTACTTATTTTTGCAAATCCCTCCAGGCTTGGCAAGACCTGCAGGCCTGGAAGATGCCGGCCTTACAACACAGCTGCAGCTGGGGAAAGAGCTGGGGACCCATTCATGGCCAAGGTCATTGGAAAAACCATGAAAGCGGCCTCAAGCGTTAGGTCCTGAGAGCTGCTTGAGCAGCAAACCCAGGTCAGCTCCACAGAAAAACGCCCCAGGCTCCACCACACCAAAGCACCTGCTTCCTGAGGTGGCTGGGGCCCGATGAGACATGATGTCATTGATTTTATCACGTCTCAGAGAGACAACCTTCCGGTGGAGGAGACAGGAAAACAGGGGCCTGCAGAGGTGACGTGCCTGCGCTGGGAAAAGAAACACTGTTTCCAGCCTGCGGGAGCAGGGCCCCCAGTTTCAGGAATAACGCTTCCTTGTCACACTCGCCCAGACCTGTGGGGCCTGAGAGGACCACAGCCCGAGCGAGTTCCTGCCATGGAACTGTCTGGAAAATAAAGATGTTTAAGACAGGTCTATCCAAATGGAAGTTATTGGGGCCATGGAGACATCAGATGTTTGATTGCTAGTAAAACAGAGGAAGCGTTTCTTTAATCTTAAGAAAAATAAAATTGAGCAAAACATCCTATGTATCATTCACATGTATGGTCACCTGTTGAAAGAATGTTGTTTTTCTTTGCTGGTTCTTTTCTTGGTTTAATTTTTAAATTCTAGCTAATTCTATTTTCTTTGTCTTCTGTCAAGGACAGAAGTTAGTGTCTCCATTTTATCTATGTAAATACTGGCTAAATAGTCTGTCTATATTAAAATATTCTTAATGAAATGCCTGCACAGGGTTGAACATTAAATAATACCAGAGGCTCAAAATGAAAGTTGGCTGTGGCCTGTCCCACCCCCGCCTCCCTCAGTCTCCCTAAGGCCCCCAGCCAATCACTTGTGTTTTTCCGTTGGTTGGGGCTGGGCAGGGAAACACACCGAGACCAGAGGTCGATCTTAACAAAGATAAGATATTTGGTTTTGGTTTTTGTTAAACCGAAGAATAATACTATACAGAAAAGTGAACAAATTAATTGCTACAATCAAATGTCTTGTCACAAAGTGGACATACACATATCATCACTTGGATCAAGAAACAGAACATGACCAGCTTTTGGAAGCCCCCCTCTGACGCTCCCCGCCCTGATCCCCAAAGGTAACCATTAGCCTCATATGTGAGTTTGCCTCCTTGAAAATTGTTAAAAATGGAACCACTCAGTACGTAACGTAGTCATGCCTCGCTTCTTTGACTTAACATTTTTGTGAGATTCACGCACACTGTTGCATGTGGCTGCAGTTGGGTAATGGCCGTTTCTGTGTAGTTTTCAATAACCACAATTTATTTATCCCTTTTATGGTTGGTAGACATGTGGGTTGTTTCCAACGGCAGCTGCTGCAAATAATGCTGCCGTAACATTTTTGCCTTCTGGTGCACGTGTGTATGGGTTTCTACCAATGAGTAGAGTCATGGTGTCACAGGTCACATGTGGGTTCAACTTTGGTAGATATTGATGGACTGTTTTTGTAAGTATACCAATTTACATTCTCACCAATAATGCAGGAGAGTTTCAACCGCTCCACATCCTTGCCAATACTTGATACTGTCTGTCTTCTTAACTTTAGCCATCCTGGAGGGTGTGTAGTGGTATCGTGATGTGGTTTTAATTTGCATTTCCCGGATAACTAAAGGAGGTTGAATATCTTTTCATTTGCTTTTGGTCACTGGATATCCTTTCGTGAAATTCTTAAGCCTTTTGTCCATTTTTCTTCTGTGTTGTCTTTTTCTTCTTGGTTTGTCTGGGGGCTTTCCTATGTTGGCTATGGGTCCTTTATAGATGCATGTCTTATTTTTCCATACTGTCGCTGGCCTATTTGATCACTGATGGCCTTTTGATGGGTGGGGCTTAATTTAAATGTGGTCCTCCTTCTTGATCTCAATTGCTTCATGTCCTTCTCTTGTATCTTAGCTCTACTTACTGCCTTATAGTTCCCCAATACATCCAAATAGACTTAAAAATAGTTTCTTTACCTTTTTAGATGTTCCTGAGGGAAGAATTGGGCAGAACTCCCTCAGGCAATCACCATTAATTGTCTAGCTCTTCCCTCTGGCATTTGCATATCTCCAAATACAGACTCAGAATGCTCTTTCTTGATTTAACATTCGAGACATTTTCAATTATGGTAGATGAGCATTTATCTATCTTACACTTGTACCCACATTCTCCTCTTCTCTGACATAGTTATTTTGTAATTTCCAACTCTCAACCACATTTCCTTTACATTATATTGAGACTATCTAAATGATATTCACTGCAAGACATTTTCAGGGCCAGCTGTACTTGAGATGATGAGTGGTATTCTCTTTGAAGTTTTCAGCAGCCCCAACCAATATTGTAAAATTTCCCAAACAGCCTCAATTTCAAAGACAGCAAGCACTTGCTGTTCTTAAACTGAATTGGAGGAGTTCCTCCTATTTAGGAGTGACCCCAAAGGGCGATGCTATATGGAATTTATCAGTCTACCGAGGCCTAACTCCGAGTTGCGTGGACCACCCGGTACCCATGTCTCAACACGGCGCTGCTACTCTAATCTCGTGTCAGAGACGCCACAACTCTTGTGAAGTGGGACTTGGCAAAATAGCCTCAAAAACCATTCCAACTGCTGAGCCTGGTGATGGAAGGAAAGACGAACGAAGAGAATTTAAGAAACTTTTGTCTTTGCCAGAAAAGAGAAGTTTTGGAATAAATTAGAGTGGAGTGTTGAATTCTGTGGTGGCTGAGAAGTAGGCCATGAACGGGTCCTGAATAAACTCTGTATGGAAATGTCCAAAGGTGCCTTTTTCAATGTGTTTCAGTAGGAAGATTATGCCATTTGTGTGTTTAAATAGTAGGATTCCAAAAGGCTGCGGGACAGACTCCTTTCGGATGTCAAACGTTATCTGTGTTCTGACTTATCGTTCTTATAAATACACGTGCACCTGTCATTTCACACGGCCCAGGTTTGGTTGGAAAAGAGAGTCACGGGGAAGGTCACCCAAAGCAAGAGGGGTGCCGAGTGTAGCACTGCCTCCTCTCCAACCCCCAGCTCCTCCCTCAGGAGCCTTGTTCTTACAGGAGGTTCTGCTCGGGAGACTGCATCCGTGTCTGAGCTGCCCAGGCCCCCGGAGAGCCTTGGCTGGCGAGCAGGTCAGGCAAGAGAGACTGCGCTGAGCCGAAGTGACCGTACTGCCATCTTCCGGATCTGTGGTTATCACCGTTACTGGCAGCAATACTTTGTTGTTGCTTTTTGTCTTACTGGATTTCTTGGCTTGTGTTGTTTGTTTTATGAGTGGAGGTAATTAGGTTTCTTCATTGGTTTCCGCTTGGAGGAGGTACTGGGGATTGAACCTGGGACCACTTGGGTGCTGAGCACGCGCTCTACCACTTGAGCTATACCCTTCCCTTGAGGATTTCTTAGTATAAGGTTCACAAGGAGCTTCTTCACCCTGTTTCCCTTTCCCACCATCCCTCCATCCCTCCATCTTAGCCCAACTCCTGGCTGCTAGTCTAGGAGCTCCACCCATGCCCTATCATTTGAGACAAAGTTCAGTAGGTTTCTTAGAGCCTGTGGTCTCCTACCCTTTCAGCACCTGTGTGGACATCCCGCTTTCCTGGTCCTGCCCTGCCCCTCCCAGGAGCACCTAATAGCAGCAGCTTAGACACTGGGGAGGCAGGGTTCTGCCTCCCATTCACCAGGCATTTATTAAGCACACACTATGGGCCAGGCAGCATACTGGGTTTAGGATACAAAGATGACAAGACTCGGTCCCTGCCTTCAGGGGCTCACAGCCTAGGGTGCCTCTGCACACCCGCACACACATTGGCCAACACAATGTTGTATATCAATCAGGTCATAAGGCATGGGTGGTGGTGCTAGGAAATCACCAGGGAGACGGAGGGGGGTGGGCAGAAGGAATTCCAGAGGGAGGAAGAAGCATGGAAAAGTGTAGGTGGGAAAGCCTTTTGTGGTCTGGAAACCGTATGGGATCTGCTGTGGATCTTTCCTTATGGAGCTTATAGTCCAGAGGGGTGGGGGCCAGGTAGGCTCTCGATTCTCAAAGGAGGCAGGAAACATGAAGAGTTTGTTTAAAAGGACAGATAAAGTGCAAGCGTTTGCACAAAAGGGAGAGAGGATCTGGGTTGGGGCATCCCAAGGAGGCTTGGTGGGCTGGATTTTGAAGAACGGGTAGGATGGATTGCAAGGATGGGAGAATATCCCAGAAGGAAGCAGCAGAGTTGGAGGAGGGGGTGTGGCCGTGCCAAAGAACAATGCTAATGGGTGTTTCAAGGAACAAAGAACAATGGGAGCAGGGCAAGCTCAGTCTCACGGATCAGAGGGGCCCCATGAAGCTGGGATGACAACAGCCTGTGTGTGTGTGTGTGTGTGTGTGTCTGTGAGTGTGTGTTGGAGAAGTTAGGATGCAGGGAGGACAGTGAGGGGAACAGTGTGACATGTGAAGTGCTGAGTCCCCGGCTGGGTTGGATTTGGAGGCATCTGTATGGGAAGCCATGGGGTAACTTGGGCACCTTCCTTGGTTTAGATTTCCTTAATGCTTTTGCAAAAATATTTCTATATTGAAATAAACAGGAAACAATGCAAAATACATATAAATTTCTTTTAAGATAAAAAAAAATACAGCTTCTAAGAAATTATGACTGTCTCCAGAAGGTCCCCTGGTGTGAGCATCCTTCCATGACCATTAGAGCAGCTCAGGATGGGTCTATGCCCCAATATCCTTGGCCAATTTCACTCTCATGGCAACTCTATGAGGTAGATATGATGACACTTATAGATAAGAAAGCAGACCAGTGAGGGTGTGTAACGTGCTCGAGGTCACACAGCTCATGAGCAGCAGAATCAGAACTCACATCAGGATCTGGGTCCCAAGTCCAAGATCTTTCTGTAACAGGCTGTGTGGCTGATAAATGGGGTGTGGTGGGGTGAGGGTGGGGAATACAGCTGGAAAAGGTTGCTGCTAAATCATGGAAGTTCTCCTATGCCAGGTGGAGATAAAGATTGCAAGCAAAAAAGAACATTCACTGCCCACTAGACCCAGAAGGTAAGAAGAGGAGCAGAATGGCCACAAGAAACCTAATCATTCTCCCGTCAGCCTCTCCGTGGCCCCCCTCATCCCTGAGACTGAGCAGTGGCACTGTTCCCACGGCAGAAGCAGGAAGCATGCCTCTTTTTCCATTCGTTTTCTACTTAGTGTTGTTCTGCAGGGCTCAGAGTGCCGGGTCATCGGCCAGCTCCTTCAGGAACTGAATGCTGGAGACACCTGGGTGTCGGCCATCTGTAACTTCACTTGAGGCGTCCTTCCCACGACAAGGATTTACCCCACAGTCAGTGCAACAGGAGGGAACAATGTTATTGGGTCTGAAAGGAAATCTGTGGAGGGTTGGGACGCTCTGGGGGTGGCTGCAATTTTCTAGATCTATTCCTTTCCATGCAGAAGTTGGTAAGACAAAATGTCATGTTCCTATGAAAATCAAGAGATTTATGTTGTCTTCATAGTAGAAAAGCAACAAGTCCCCAGAGGACCCCCTCATGGTAACTTAGTGGAAATACAAGGTGAAGAGTTATCTGTGGCTTGAGGTAAGTGTTAAACTGTTCCTTTGACTAGGAGATGGTGGTTGTAGTTTGCAACTGAATGTCATTGTCTTTCTTCTTTCCCTTTCCTTTCTTTAGAATGTGTTGAGAGAGTTTATTAAGAAACAGCCAACATCCTGAAGATCCTCAGGCCACCTCAAGTACTGTCGTTTCTGTACAAATCCTCTGATGGACTGATGCTTCATCAGCTGGTACTGGGACAGGGACCCGACCACCACCATGATGAGGGCACCATTGAGGTCAGCTAAGCACCTGCTCTGGGCATAGCTGAAGGCTTCAAGGCACCACCCGTCTCTAAGGAAGTGTCTGCTCACAAGACAGACAATCTTTCTGCTGCTCCACACGGCATCTTGGATGTTGGCGATGTGGTTCTCCCCTGGCACAAAGTCTCTTTCTTCAAAGCACAGGTTAAATCTGTTTTGGTCGCTATACTGAGCGTCCAGGTGTTTGAGCAAAGTATTCTGCACCCATTCAAAGTCTTTGCTACTGAAGCACAAGTAAGCATCGTACTTATACGTGTCCGATTCTCTTTCCTTGGTGGGGTCTTTGAACACCAGTCTCTGGGCTTTCTTATAACAGAGGAAACAAAACCCTCGGAACTTCGTGACTATGAGGATAGTCGTGAGGAACAGAGTCAAAGTGACAGTGAATAAGATGAAAAGGGAAAACCTGAGGGACTTTAAAACTTCCTCTTCATCACAACCTTCCGTGGAAACAGAGTAGAGGGAAGTTCCAGCGTACGAACTCGGGTACGCACAGTATATGTCTTCAGGAGACCCAAATATCGTGACATTGGTTTGATTGAGCCAATTGATAAAAGTGCTAAGTTCACACTCACAGATGAACTTGTTATGAGTTAGATCCACGAAACTGAGTGATGCAAATAAATCAGGATCAGGAGATAGGAGCTGGTTTCTGGATATATCCAGGATCTCCAAAGTAGCAGGTAAGTCACCAGGGAATAGAACTGTCAGCCTGTTGGAGCTGAGGCTGAGTCCCCTCAGTGCAGTCAGATGGTGAAAAACTCCTGGTGGGAGGAAATTCAGGTAGTTGTTATTCAAATACAGGATTTGGAGTTGGGAAAGCCCCTTAAAAACATCCCAACAGAACCCGGTTTCCCAGGCAAGTTGCAGCATGTTTTCTCCAAGGAAAAGCTGTTTTAAGCTGGGATTCTCTGATGGGGCATGCCTTTGGTTACAAGAGGAAAGGCGATTTTGATTTAAAATGAGAATCTGGAGATTAGGGACCTGGAGAAGGAAGTAGAGATCATCCAGATTTTCCAGCCTGTTCTCTGATAAGTGGATGAAGTTGGCTGTAAGTGTGATGTTTGGCAAAGTCACCAGCTTATTGCCACCCAGGAAGATAGTAGGTATGCTGGGAATAAAATAAATTGTTGTAAGAGCATTATCTCGGAGATCCAAGGTATTTAATTTTTCCAGGAATCTGAATGTCTGGTCTTGAATGATCCCGATGTGATTCTTTTGCAGGTCAATATAGGCAACCTCAGGTAATCCATTGAAATTAGAATTATAAAGTTCCCCTAGCAGGTTATGTGACATATTGAGAACTTGGAGGTTGTCGAGTCCATAAAATGCTTCATCTGCAATCTTGTTTATTTTGTTGTAGGCAAGGTTCAGAACCTTCAACTCCTTGAGCATCTCAAAGAGTCGGAAGTTCAGGGAGAAGATATACCCGTGTGAAAGGTCCAGATGTATCATCGAGCTCCTGGCCAGGCCAGCAAATGTGTTCCGGTCAGGTTCTTTGATGTTATGGAAGCCAAAGTGAGAACCCATAATGTGGTGAGCAAGAACCAAAGAGAAAACCTGGCTTCCATTGATGGCATGGCTGAAGTTTCTTGTGATGTCCACTGTCCAGCCATTGCCAGAAACATCAAGGGTTTCCAGGACCATGTTTCTGAATGGGTTCATACACTTTTCCCAGTCCACTGAGACCCTGTTGTACAGGTTATTATCAGCAAGGCTTAAAAAGGAGAGTGTTTTTCCTTGGAGGGGTTTGAGCCCATGCTCACATACAACCGGTATCTGGTTGAGGGAAAAATCAATGGACTTCAAAGAATTCAATTCCCAGAATGAAGGATGAAGGTGAAGACTCTGAATCCGGTTTTTAGATAGGTCCAAGCGAGTTAAAGACTCTAAATTTCTGAAATAACCATCTTTTAATACAGCATCGGAGAGACCACAATAAAACAGTCTAAGTTCAGAGAGATGGGGCAGTCCTTGAAAAGCATCTGGATGCAAGAAGTCTACCTGATTTTGGCCCAGGTCCAAGATTCTAAGATTGGGCAGGTTTCTGAAGGCTTCTTTGTCAATGGTCAAGGGGGTGAACTGAGTCCCGAGCTCCAGCAGCTGCAGCTGCTCCAGGACAGGGAAGGATGTGGTTGTGATTGTTCTGATGTAGTTGTAGCTTAGCAGGAGGCTCTTGGTGGTATTGGGGACCTGGGGGACCTGGGTGAGGTTGCAGAAACGATATAAGGCCATCTGACCATCAAAGGAGCAGGAAGAAATTCTGAGCACAGGACTGGCCATGAGCACCACTCCTAAGAGAAGGTCAAGATGATGTCCCATGTTCCTAGGGAGAAGAAGGGAGAGTGAAAACAGGCATCTTATTGTAAAGCATTGCACACAGGTGCTTAGGGCTTGGGGGATTCCTCTATGATGTGGTCATTCCCTTCAGCCTGGACCCTTTGTTGCTCTGGGTCCATGGCCACGGCTGTTGGCAGATACCGACTGGTGTAGACAGAGCTGTTCTCACTCGCTAGCTTTTTTCTTTTTTTTTTTTTGGTCCAGGTTTTTTTTTTTTTTAACTGAAGTGTAATCAGTTTACAATATTGCATCAATTTCTGGTGCACAGCATGTTTCAGTCATACATACATGTGTATATATTCATTTTCATATTCTTTTTCATTATATGTTACTACAAGGTATTAAATATAGTTCCCTCTGCTATACAGTAAAAACTTGTTGTTTATTTTATATATAGTAATTAGTGTCTGCAAACGTTGAACTCGTAACTTATCCCTTCCCATCCCCTTCTCCCCTGGTAACCATAAGTTTCTTCTCTATGGCTGAGTCTGCTTCTGTTTTGTAAATAAGTTCATCTGTGTCATTTTTTTTTTAAAGACTCCACACATAGGTGATATCATATGGTATTTTTCTTTCTCTTTCAGGCTTATTTCACTTAGAATGGATCTCCAGGTCCATCCATGTTGCAGCAAGTGACATTATTTTATTCTTTTCATGGCTGAGTAGTATTCCATTGTATGTGTATGTGTGTATATATATATATATACACACTAAATATCTATATATACTACATATATACACTACATATGTATGTGAATATATATGGGTGTGTGTGCGTATATATATATATACACACACACACACACATACTATAACTTCTTTATCCAGTCATCTGTTGATGGACATTCAGGTTGTTTCTGTGTCTTGGCTATTGTAAATACTGTTTCTATGAACATTGGGGTGCATGTGCCTTTTTGAATTATAGTTCCCTGCAGAAATACACCCAGGTCACTCTCTATCATTTATATTGCATTTTTCTACATAGCAAGCACCATTCTAAGTACTTTAGAAATATTTCATTTAATCTTTATAATTACTGTGTTCACTCATAAGTTCATGCCTGCCTTCATTCGAGATCTGCTGAGGGAAGTTGGAGAACACAGCAGGAGGAGACACATTTTTGCTTCATCTCAGTCAGGGACCCCATTCCTAGCCCATGGGAGGCTCAGCTGATGAGTGGAAGATAAATCCACCCATTTTCTTCACACTCTAACCTGTCAAGGTTACTAGTTCATCTCCAGTCATCCATCCTGACCCCAGACACAGTACATCTCATCATATAAAAACTGGGTACTTTACATCATTTCTCACAAAGAGTCAGATTGTATCAGTTTAATAAAAATGTATTAAGCACGTCCTGCACACCTGACCCTTATATTTATGGATGACACACACTAGTGGGAAGTGGGGGCATTTTGGAAAGTGGAATTAAAGTTCAAAGTAATCTCAGTAGATAAACTGAAGAATTATCAGGAAAAAAAAAAAAAAAGAAACCAGGCAGGGTGGATTTGGGGGTTACATTCAGAAGAAATCCCCAAAGGCAAATACCGGACCCTCCTCTCCTGAAGGCTTGACACAAGCCCTCTCAGGGGCAGGCTCTGTAACAACATCATCCCTGTAACTCTCTATTACATATTTATCATTTACATCCTGCGTATTTCCCCAAAGCATCCCATAACATCAAATTTAATCATAATTGATAAAACAAACTTAAAAAGGGCAGGCACCTTCAAAGAAAGAGACAGACTTTGAGAGGGACAAGGTAAGAGACAGTTACTGCAACGGGCCCTCACTCAGTCTCTGAGCTTCCCGGTTTGCAAACCATAGTGCAATAGGAAAGAACAAATCTGACTCCATATCGGATCTGTTCCTTTAGCTCTAACCCTGGGCTCTGTTTCCTGTGCTCAGTCATGCTGGCTCTGCACCTTTTGTAAAAGAATGTTGCCTGTAGCCTGAAATATACAGGAGGGCCCATTCTCGAGGCTATCCATTCACACAGCTGCTGAAGGACAAAGTCCTTCTTACAAGTTTTGAGGTCGTGGACTCCCTTGAGAATCTGACGATAACTTCGAACCTTGCCCTCCAAAAATGCATTTACATCATAAAACAAATTTTGCATCCAATTTCAGGGGGTTCGCTGACCTCCTGAAGGTAGCTACCCCTTTCAACCTCATGGTGAGAACCCTTAGTTTACATATGACAACCACCACATTTTATATTCTAGAACAAGGCTTGGAAAACATTTTCTGTAAAGTGCCAGATGGTAGGTATTTTAGGCTTTGCAGTCCAAATATCATAGTTTGCCAACCTCTGTTCTAGAAGAAAAAGGAATAGAGGCTTTGATTTTACAAATGAGGATTTTAAGTGACTGCAAGATAAACATGTTCTGGTCCCGAACTGACATTTGCAGGAAAGAACGAACATGGCTCCCAAGTTGCTGACAGTTTTGCCGCTGTTGTTCTATCCAAACATCAGGATGACTTCTCATCCTGTGTAAGCGGACAGAAAAGTCCCTGCAGAGACATGAGAGTGAGAACAACAGCTCAGAATAACAGAGTTACAATGTTTAGTTTCAGTTCTGTCTTTTTCCAGACCATTCAAGGCTGGCCTCCAAATGCCTACACTGAACTAGGGTGGCTTGGCCTTGAATTTGTGATAACAACAATTGAAAGGAAGCCCCAGACAATAGATGTTCAATATACTGAATTTTTAAGTCCATAATAGGGGAGCGAAAACTAAACAGTTAGGTGGATAAGGCCAGCTGTACAAATAGATTTAAAAGAAACTCACCTGGACTTGGCATCATACAACAGAGATAACATGCAGAACTGTTTTCTTATGGAATAGCTACATCTTTGTCTCTGAAACAGACCTCTAGGGGTCAAGTGCCAGCACAGGTGAGCAGGAGAGCCAGGTGAGCTGGTGAGCTGACAGGAGTCTGGAGGGGCTGTTCGTGAAGACAGAAGCTGGGAGGAGGGACCACCCAAGCAGGATTATCCTGGAATGAGAGCCAAAATGGGTTGAAATAAACATGAATGGGCACTGAGACAGGACAAAACTAATTTAAAGACGAGGACCAGGCAATGAAGTTGTCTCAGATCTGACCAGACCTCAGAAAAATGGGTATCCGAGAGTGACTGATACGTAGGAGCAAGAGAGAGCAGGAGGGGAGCAGGTGTGGACATAGGGGAACCCAAGAGAGAAGATCAAGTGACTTAAAACACCAACTCCTAAATGGGTTGAAGCCAGGGGGAGCAAGAGAGATGAGAGTGTGTGAAGCAAGAAGCCTGTGCCAGCGGTGGGCCACTAGCTTCTCTCGGGAAGCGCAGGTTGCTAAGAGCAGCTTCTGACCCCTCAGAAGAGTGCGCCACCTAGTGGTGCCTGGGGTGCGTTCTCTGAGGCAGCCAGGAGAGGGACAGGGCAGTGAGCTCCTAAATCATTTTTTTATAAAAAAAAAAAAAATTAATGGAAATATAGCCAGTTTACAATGTTGTGTTCATCTCTGGTGTACAGAATGGTGACTCAGATATACACATACATACAGACACACACATATATATTCTTTTTCATTATAGGCTATTACAAAATATTGAATATAGTTCCCTATGCTGTACAGTAGGACCTTGCTGTTTATCTATTTTTTTATATAGAGTAGTTAGTATCTGCAAATCCTGAACTCCTAATTTACTTCTCTCTCCTTTGCCCCTGGAAACCACAAGTCTGTTTTTTATGTTTGTGAGTCTGTATTGTAAATAAATTCATTTGTGTCTTTTTTTTTTTTTTAGATTCCACATATAAGTGATCATATGGTATTTGTCTTTGTCTGATTTACTTCACTTAGTATGATAATCTTTAGGTCCCTCCATGTTGCTCCAAATGGCATTATTTTTTCTTTCTTTCTTTCTTTCTTTCTTTCTTTCTTTTTTCTTTCTTTTTTTCTTTCTTTCTTTTTTTTATTGAAGCATAGTCTGAGATTTGGTTGGTCTGGAGTGTGGCTAGGGCATCCCAAGTTGTTAAATCTCCCCAGATGAATCCAGCTGCAGAAAGTTGGCTCACCTAGTCCTGTGGTTGCAATTCTGACAGCACCTTGGAACCACCTAGGGTGCTTTAAAACTCTACTGACCCAAGAAATTAGACATAGAACTACCACAGAACCCCACAATTCCACTTCTGGGCATGTATACCCCCAAAGAATTGAAAGTAGAAAGTCAAACAGATATTTGCACACCCACATTCATAGCAGCATTACTCACAATAGCCAACTGGTGGAAACGATCCAAATGTCCCTTGACAGAGGAGGAGATAAACAAAATGTGGTCCATCCCTTACCATGAAATATTATTCAGGCTTGAAAAGGAAGGAAATCCTGGCACAGGATTCAATAAGCTTGAGCCTTGAAGACATTATGCTAAGTGAAATAAGCTAGTTACAAAAGGACAAATGCTGTGTGATTACACTTAAATGAGGTACTTAGAGTAGTCAAATTCAGAGAGACAGAAAATAGAAGAGAGGTTGCCAAGAGTTGAGGGCAGAGGGTAGATGGGGAGTTATGGTTTAGTAGATTCAGAGTTTCTGTTTGGGAGGATGAAAAATTTCTGGAGATGGAAACTTGGTGATGGTAACACAACAATGTGAATGTCCTTAATGCCACTAAACTGTGTATTTAAAATGAATGAGGTACCTATCACCTCACACCAGTCAGAATGGCCATTTTTATAAAGTCTACAAATAATAAATGCTGGAGAGGGTGTGGAGAAAAAGAAACCCTCTTCCACTGTTGGTGGAATGTAGTTTGGTGCAGCCACTATGGAGGGTAACATCCCACTCCAGGCATATATCCAGAGAAAATTCTAATTCAAAAAGACGCATGCACCCCGATGTTCATAGTAGCACTATTTACAATAGCCAAGACATGGAAACAGCCTAAATGTCTATCAGCAGATGAATGGATAAAGAAGATGTAGGATATATATAATGGAATATTATTCAGCCATAAAAAATGAAATAATGCCATTTGCAGCAACATGGATGGAACTGGAGATGATCATATTAAGTGAAGTTAAGTCAGACAGAGAAACACAAGTATATATGATATCACTTATACGTGGAATGTAAAACCAAAAGATACAAATTTTATTTACAAACCAAAAATAGGCTCTCAGGCATGGAAAACAAACTATGGTTACCAAAGGGAAAAGGGCAGGGGATGGGTAAATTAGGAGTTAGGGATTAACAGATACACATTACTATATATAAAACAGATAAACAACAAGGACCTTCTGTATAGCACAGGGAACTATATTCAGTTTCTTGTATTAACATAATGGAAAAGACTCTGAAATATACATATGTATGTATATGTAGAACTGAATTTCTTTGCTGTGTTCCTGAAGCCAACATTGTAAATCAACTACACTTCAATAAAAAATAAAATTTTAAAAAAAGAAAAAAGGAAAAGAAGTGGTTAAAATGGTTAATTTTATGTCATGTCTATTTTACCACAATCAGAAAACAAAATTAAAGAGAAAAAACCCAACACCACCGCTGCCCGAGTCTGGCTCCTGGAGTTCGCTAGGTCTGGTGGAGCCGGGAAGGGGCATCTTATCATTGTATCCCAGGTACTTTGAAGCAAGTGGCTCTCAGGCCACACTGTGAGAAACCTTGGTCCCAAGGATCCCTTCCAACTCAGAAACCCTGGAATCCTTTTAGAGGAAGAGAGCTGGTAAGACATTCAGAGGGCTGTTGAGTATCGGGTTTTTATGGTCGAGGTGAACTTGAGTGGGTGGCAGGAACAGCACAATCAATGGAGCCTCGATACTCCTGCCAAACACTGTTAATTAAGATAATCAGACCAGAGGGAGACAGGTCGGCAGCCCTTTCATTGGAGTTGAATTCACTTAGCTTTAATCCTAGCCGTCAGCAGAGTGGGTTCCCTTTCCTGACTTAATTGCCGGCACGGTGGAGCCGCTGGCCTCAGCTCGGGTGAGTTGCAGGCCGTGGTGTCTCCACTGGAAATGAGGAAGGAAGCCGGCACTCAGGGGCATCACTGCTCCCCAGGGCACCACATTTAGCCGGCAAATCCCTCTGGCTGGGGCCAGGGCTGCTGTGTGCTAATTTAATTCTTGATCCTTAACAAATAATACTCATAATGGGCTCTTTGGCAGGACCCAGGACTCAGAGCTTGGCCGCCAGGCTGTAGAGAGGACATTTCTCCTGGCAGGCGGTGGCCCAAACCTGGCAGGCGGCTGTAGTACTGGGCATGGAGGACAGCTGTCTGAGAAAAACAGTTAATTCCCTTCCAAATGGGTGCTTGGGAGAGTTTCTCCAAGGTTCACAGAGCAATAAAAATCCAGGATGAAGTCCAAATGTGGGTATGTTCAAGTTCAGCCCTGGAAAAAGGCTCAAGGCCAGTGGACAAGGTCACCCTCCCAGGGCGAATGCGTTCTCCAGATGCAGAACACAGCATCCCATTGGGGCCAGCCAGCACATGAGGACTCTGAAGTCTGCAGCGTTGCCAGGGCCAAGGTCCTTCCAGCCCAGCAGCGTTCTGCTTCTGACAATAGTTCCAATACAGCACGTGGCCGATGGCATCACTATGAACCTCAGAGGGTGCTCCCCAGAGACAATCCCAGCTTCCTTTATAAACCACCATGACCTTGAGGCTCTTCTGGAGTGACCTCTTTTTCACTCAGCACCACCTCTTCTCAAGTTGACCAGCTGCTGTATTTAGAATCTGTGCTTGTCCTAGAGTAAGTCTTCCCTGGCCGAGGCTCCCGCTATGCACCGGTCGCTACGGGATGTTGCGGAGGGAGTCCCTACCTGTAAGGGTCTCCTGGTCCATACAGACTCAAGAGCAGCGATGCCCCAGTGAGCACGCAGGACCAGCAGCATTAGCACCACCTGGGGCCCCACCCCAGCCTGACTGAGTCAGAAGCTCTGTGGCGGGAGGCCTGGCAAGCTGAGCTATCAAGCCCTCTGGGCAATTCTGATGCACTTTTGAGAACCACTGGGCTCGAGTCTGGAGGGAGAGCAATGCATCGTAATAACCACAACACCATAGAGTGAGGACCTTCGCCTGTATCCTCATCCCCACGTGGCTCCGAGCGTCCTCCCTTCCCTCAGCCTCCCAGTCTCTGGTAGGTACCGGTGTTTCCCCATTATACATGTGAGAAAAGGAAGGTGCAGAGAAGCTAAGTAACGTAAGACCACACACTCCACTACCCTCTAAGCCCAGCGTCTGGTGCGGCTGCCCACGTACTCTTCTGCTGATCTTGTGGTCACTTGCTCTCAGTCACAAAGGGTGTGGGACCTGGCTTCCAGGGGAGGGTGAGCCTCTCAGCCCCTTGCCCCCTTCAGTTCCCATGTGAGGGTCCACCTTACCCCACAGTCCCTCACTCCCGAGATGGCCCCTTTGACATACTGAGTTCTCCCCAGCTCTCAGCAAAGCCTTCCCCCTTCCAGGTCTCCTGGGCCCACCCTTCCACTACACTGACTCCCCGATGGCCTCCTCACTCCCCTCGAACCTTCCCCCCAACACCTCCCCATCCTTTTAGACCCCACGGACCTTCTCTTCAAACCATCCTTCAACATCTTCAACTCAGATGCCTCCTGCTCCTCTGTCCCATCTGTCTACACCAGCTGCCTGCCCTCGGCAACCCTCCACCCGGTGGCTGTAACTTGGTCAGAAAAAAAAGCCCACGATGCTGTGCACTGGTGCCCACCCAGATGTGCAGTAGGATCCAATCACACAGTCACCCTCTCCCCTACCTCTCGGCAGTGATTCCGCACCTCTGACGGTCTCCCTCGCCCTTCCTGCCTGGCCTCCGCCTTCTCAGAAGCCGTTGACATTGCTTCCTGTTTCTAGGATAAGGAAGGCCTGGCTCTTGACCTTCCAGTGTTGCAACCATCCAGTGACTCACTGTGTCCACAGGAGGGCTCACGGGCAGTCCTGGGGGCAGTGCCCTGCAGTGCCTCTGGGAGGTGGCTCTGGGGTCAAGAGTATCTGGTGGGTCTGGGGCAGCTCACTTATGCACACTTGGGTGCCCAAGGCCAGGGCTGGGCACGCGTGCAAACGAAAAGGAAAGCATGCTCCCCACCCACCCTTCTCCTCACACCCGTCACATGCCTGAGTGGAGACAGTCCTCAGCGTCTTCCGTGAGCACCACAGTTTAGCACCACAGGGCAAAGCCCGATGACCACGGCTGAGCTCCAAAGAGGAAGCAGCAAGTCAGCACCCTGGGTTTCTGTGCTCTGCTGCGACCTCAGGAGAACCGTTTACTGACTTGCTGCTGCCTGGGGATCTCACTGGGTCTGTTTGCATCTCTCAGTGTGTATGATGGATGCTTCGATACAAATCACGCCTAGTTAGTCTAGCCCAGGGAGAAACTTCCCTTGCATGTGTCATGGGGGTGGCGGCGGATATTAGGAGAAATTTGGCCAAGTTCCTTGCTGAATTCCCAGGAAGCTGGTAATCCTGTCAGGGTGGGAGAGGGTGAGAGTGAGCTGACTCTGATAAGACCTGCTGTTCTTGAACAGGCTTCCCTCTGCCTTTCCTCTGAGCTGCAGATCACCAACCAGAACTCCTCTAGGAATTTGTCCACAATTGCTGTCAAGCTCACTGGTTTGTCGTTCAAAAGGCCATCTGTGCCCCTTTGTGTGAATGAGGATTTCATTCCCAAGGGCAGGCGCTGTTTCCTTCTCTTTGGTTCACTGGCCCAGCGCCAGCAATCAGAACATGGGGCATCAGCAAACAGCCGCCGGATGAATGAATTTGCCACATTCTGCCTCTGGGTCCTTCTTCCTCTTCATCGCCTGCAGGGTTAGCTGCCGGGGTGCTGAGGGCTTGTCTGCACTCTGGGTCCCTTGGATGGGCTGGTCTGGGGGTGGGCGCCAGGGGTCCTTCAGAGCAGCCCCATCTCACCTGCTCCCTTCCCTCCTACCTGGGAATCGCCATCAGTTCTCATGCTCCCGGCAGCTTCTGAGGGGGAGCGCGCCCCTTCCTTCTTCCTCTTCTGGATATGCCTTGACATAGCCTCTTGGGTAACTGTAGTATTTCCGCCAAAAGCAGGGCCCCTTCTCACCAAGCAGACACTGCGCCGTATTCATCTTTGGTTGTGGACCTTAATTTCCATCTTCAGTGCATACGTTCTTAAACCCTAACAAGGTGGGTGAGGTCGCACTGACCTCCTTAACCCCCACTGGGAGCAGCTTCAAATACATCAATGCAACTGGTGGCCAGTTCTGTGAAGCTGACCTCCGGACACCACCACCAGCATCATTTCCCCTCACTTCCAATTGTGCTGCGCTGCCCAGCTCCACGACCCCTGCCTCCTGTCCAGGGCACAGCAGTGACCTCCCCCCGCCCTGAGCTGATCGCTCCCAGCAAGTCTTACCCCGACTGACTTACGCTTCTCCCACTCAGCGCCAGGAGGGGGCCTGCAGAGCACAGCTCTTATCAGAAGCCTTCAACAGCTCCTCCCGCCCTCAACGGTCCAACCCTTCCGGGCCTAAGACTTCCTGCTGCTCCCCTGTGGACTAGAATCTATTCTGGGAGCACCTGAACCCTCTCATTTGACAGAGGAGGAAATTCCAGACAACATACTTTCCGGTTTATCTACAGCCCTGCCTGTGCTCCGGGGATAACTCGCCTTCTCCGAGAGCTCCCTCCATCCAATTTCTCTGCTCCAGCTGGTCCCTGGGCTTGGAATCCTTGTACTTGTCTCATCTGCTTAATCAACTTCAACTCATCCCTCACAGGCTACCCGAGAGGCCAGCTCTTCCATGAAATAATCCACATATTCTTACAGGCACTTTATCTCCCTCCCTTATTCTGTTTATGTTTCTACAATGACATTTTCATTACATCAGCCTCCTCCTGATTGTCCATCTCTCGAGGGCAGGGACCTAGTTTTGTACCCATGGTAACCCTGAAACACACAGCACTACTGAAATGCCCTGAGGTTTTCCCCATTAACATCTGAAGGAGAGTGCTTTCTGCCAGCAGCACTCACCTCCAGGCCTCACACAAGGGCTTCTGGTATGCTCTTATTCTAGAGGCACAGGGTCTCGGATTGTGGAAAGGCTTCAGTTCCTGAGACTATAGGCACCTCCTCATGGTGGTGATGGTGGTCAGTGTTTTCTGGTGAATCGGGAGAAAGGGCTTTTGTTTCCCTAAGGGAGAACAGGAAAGCTACTTACGAGGGAGAAAGAGAAAACATTCCATAGATGTGTTTCTGTGCCACACAGTGATTTTCTCTGTAGAGGAATTTAAAACTTTAGGTATGTCTCTGATCAAGTGGAATTTTAATGGGAAAAGATCAAGACCCTTTTGTAAATCGAGGTGTGTGGAACAACAGAGCTGAAGGGATCTGAAGAAATCTCAGACCCAGCCTCCGGGTCAGTCAGTTCTGGGGGAGCGTGGTGGTGTTTCTGCCTCGTCCCTGCAGGGAGGAAACGCCATACTTTCATAATCCATTCCATCTTATTAAGTCATGGTGGTGGTGAGGGCACACCTCCCTTGGACTTAGAAGTCCCTTTGTGACGTTTCTGTGGTCATTTGGTTACTGGGGACCCACACGTAGGATGAGGACAGCCCACCGTCTACTCCTGAGTGAGCAGAGAGTTTGCAGGTTTCTATGGAAAGAGAGCTAGGTTTGCGTCAGAGTTTGACATGTCTAAGCTGTATGACCAGGTAAACGATGCTTGAGTTGAGAGATACTGGGTAATTATTGGATCTCAGGTTTAGGATGAGATGGGTCCTGAAAGTTAAGAATGATATATCATGCTTCTCACCATTTTACAGATGATTAAACTGTTGCTCAGCGATTAAGCCCTTGCCTAAAGTCATATATCCATCACATCGTGGAGCTGGGATTTGAATCCAGCTGCAAACTTAGCTTTCATTTTGATCTTTCTCCCAAAAGTCACAATTGTGCCAACTGCTGAACAGATGCAGTGCCTCAGAGGGTGACCTGCGACCTGCGTATGAATCACCTGGAGATCTTGCTGAAATGCACATTCTGAGTCAGCAGGGCTGGGGAAGGATCTGAGATTCTGCATTTCTAACAAGCCTCCAGGTGCTACTGATGCTGCTGGCTCAGTGACCACGATTTTAGTGGTAAGGACTTAAGAGAGCTGTTTCTTGCCTCACCGCTCACCACTCAGGCTGCCACATCTCCCGGGAATGAAGTGTGACCAGGATGCTGCTGCATGATCACTTTTGAGAAAAGGGCTACAATTCACCCCCAATTCTTCTCAGTCCTGAAGACTGAAGCACTGGATGCTTGCTCGAAGAGGGTTATTTGAGGCTTCTGAGGCAGGGGAGCTGGGAAGGTCACATCGTTTTACCTGGAGCTAAGGAAACAGGAGAGCTTGGGTACCGTTTCTCTGGCTCCAGGACGGGCGCTTCTCCTGGAGACCAGCAGGGGGCGCACAATGGGCGGAGACCGAGGCAGGAGCCCGCGGAGAGGCGGCGGGAGAGTCTGGGCTGAGAGGTGCGGAGGCCGCCAGCGGCTACAAGAGGAGTTCCGCTGAGAAGACCCTATTGCTTCCTTCCGTTTAGAGAGCACGCAGGTGCTCCTGGCAGGCTGGCTGTTCCAGAAGCACAGGGAGGAAAGATCACGACTGAATCTCAAAGCAGGACTGTGTTGTCTTTTCTTCCCGAGCGCGCACCTTAGAAGAAATTATCTACTCCCCCCCCCCCACCGCCCCGCACGCACCTGTGAGGCTTTCAATCTGCTTTGCGGTGTACACAATTTTGCTGTTTTTGAAAGGTCAAAATGACAACCAAGCTTGTAGTTGGAGTCAAATCCTAGCTCCACAATTTAACAGATGTGTGACCTTGAGCAAGGGCTTAACCTCTCTGAGCACCAGCTTATTCATCTACACAATCGCAACAATAATAGTTTCTACTTCCCTGGGGAAGCATCCCCAGAGGCTTCTGAGGACACTCCAGCGCCCTCACCGACAGCCCAGTTACTGATGCGTAATCCTCTAGTATTTCTTGCTTGCTTAAGTAGACGGACATCATTTATCCAGCTGCACCTCACCAGAAATGTATTCCTTTTGGAAACCACTGAAGGGGAACTGGGAGAGAAGGAAACGGAATTTCTCAACACGCTGAGGTGATTTGGTGTTTTTCTCTTTCTGTGCACTCCTATTCCCGTGTTGTCTTTCATAGCTTCAGGTGGTGGTCCCCCCAAATCAAAACAACAAAAACAGCAGCTTCCAGAGGCATGTATGGTCCGAAGACATGCTGAAGGATGCTGACAACCCAAATGGTTTAGGTACAAAACAGCTTCTCTTCTGTCTGCTCATTATAAACTCTTCAGCACACAGTTTTAAAGCATCTGATTGAAAGAAATAATTCCATCCAAATGGTTGTTAAAAACTAACAACCAGCATGACACATCTAAAATCCCTGGGAAGAGAGAGCTTATGAGGAACTGAATATTTCTGCCTGTCTTCAGGTGCAAGCAGCACCAACATCTCAATTAGAAAATTAATGTCCGAGACTCCGACAGCCTCCCTGGATGCAACTCAACTAAACCCTGAGTGTTTACAGGCAAAGCAAATCTCTGGAAAAGATGGGCAGCTGCAAGGTCAGGAGCCCGAGCAGACCAAGGGCTGGGAAGTCTGATACTGCATCCCCAGAAAGTAATGACACAGACAATCCGCTAAGAGCAGCAAAAATCATTTGGATGATTATGATGTAAATTAGAAGTATGTGGGGGGAGGCACGCGGAAGAGAAACCTTATTAAACTATGATCCGTTAGACACAGAGAACGGAAATGTGAAGAGGGATTACAAAACACTTGGGAACTGTCCTGGGAGGGATTTGTAGTCTGTGCTATGCTCAACAGAGTCATTGAGAGATACCTCCCTGGGCTGGTAAAATCTAGTCCACTCTGCAGTTGGTGGAGATACCAACTGGTGAGAGGTGAGGGAAGGGAGCAGGGAGTCAGCCTGGAGGAGGGGGTCCTGTATCTCCAGGCGTACCAGATGCAGAAGAGGAAAGATGATTTTATTGGCAGCATCACAGGGACTGTGAGCAGGGCAGGCAGGGCTGGGGAATGCCCTTGCTGGAAACACAAGTTCCTGCTTCGTGCCCAGTGTCCATGGTCCCCAGGGAGGTTCATGGAGTGTGGAATCCGTCCTGGGCAGATTCTGCTCCCCAGGGTGCTGTGTTCCTTTCTGAGAAGGGGTGGAGTCAGCAAGAAACTTGGCTCCTAAGTACTGTTGGTAGTTACTTCCAAGATGCATGAGATCATGGCAAAGCACTGGGCTGGGAGAGGGGAAAACTGGGTTCCAGCCCTCCTTCGCCCATCACCAGGGCAACCTTGACAAGTTTAACTTCCCTCGTCCTGTTTCTGGATGTGTATTATGGTGAGTTTGGACTGGGAGCATTTTCATCTCCCGTACACCCTAAAATTATCTAATGAGATGTGCTAAGTATCATGACAGCAATCAAAGACCAGGACACCATCACCCACACTTGCGGCAAATTTGTGAATCTGTTATAGACCATCTTGAAAATCTCTACGGAAAAATGATGGTATTGATGTACCAATGAAATGGATAGATAAAGTGGTTCCACATATATCCTGGCCTCAAATGTCAACTTTTTCCTGCCTAACAATTTACTCCCAGAGGGGACTGCTTCTGTGGCTAGATAATATTTTGAGAAGAAAACTTTTCCTCCTCCTTGTATTTCCACCTCCCTTTGCTCACCTCCACCCTCTAGCAGTCTCCTTACGTCACTGCCCCAGGGCAGGTATGTGGCAGCACCGTACCCAGAATAGCTTGCAAAATCATCTGGCTTTGATTTCCCAACCATGGACTTAGGGCCAGGACCCAGAGGCTTTTCCAGAAGGTACAGAGAGGAGGCGGTTGGTGGGGCAAAGTACCAAGGTTTGGAAGAAACAGGAAGGGAAGAGTGGTTGGGTGTCCCAGGAGGACAGGACTTTGGCAAGACCCCAGAGTCTGGCTGTGTGGTCCAGTAGCAGCAGAGACCACCAGGGAGGCAGTGTCAACGGTGTGCTCGGTGGTAAACTGGTGAGTCTTGCCCCTGCATCTTGGCACTGAATAAGGTCTGGAAATCGTGACACACCCCTGGGGTGGTGTTCTTGCCAGCCCTGTGAGACAAAGGCTCCAAACGAACATGAAGCTGCTATCTAGGAAGTAAGAGCGGCAGTATTTCTTGCACACTGGAGCACATAATTGATTCACACACATGACCCTTTTGCATGTTGAGAAAGAAAATAAAGTTAGCCTTGGAACTCTCTAGAACCAGTTAAGTCTCTGACCACAATGAGGTGGAACCTCAGAACACAGAAACTCAGATCTGAATGTGGTTTGCGATCTTGCCTTCATCACGGCCGAGTTCAAATGCTGGCTCAGTTGCTCTTTCTCCAAAATGGAGTGGTTATGCAGACTAAACGAGATGATATGTGTCGCTCATATTTCCGGGTTCCTTGTGGTGCTCTGCACATGGTAGGTTATTTGTGGACTATTAAACTATTTGTTGACTGTTAAAGCTACTCTAACCCACAGTGCATGGATAGGCAGATGACTGGTGACCTTGGATCAGTCATGCTGTCGGCAGCACCCAGACTAAGAATATGGCAGCAGTGTCGGGCCCACGGACACCCACGTGGAGTGGCGCATGAACCGCTCCTCTGGAATCAGTGCAGTGCTTTAAGCGCCCAGACCCTGGTGCCCGCCACGTCCAGGTGGAACCCTTGCTCAGCGCCCCGTGCTGGGTCACTGGGTGGGCTCCCCGGGCCTCGGATCTGTCACGGGGAAAATGAGAATATAACAATACCCACTGCATAGGTACTCAGAACAGCATCTGGCTCAGAGTACATGCGGTGCCCTGTTTGCTATGATTACTGATGTTATGAATTTGTGCAGTCAAGGAGAAAATGTCTGGCAGGCACAATTATAAAGGAAAGTCAAGTTTGGGGTATTTGAGCCAAGTTTGCCACGGGTCAGGGAGGTGAGAACCAACTGTTTCTAGGTTGCAACATCCTACCGTTGGATTTAGAAATACTATGATTTTGGAGATTACCCACAGTGAGAGTTCTCTGGTACCTAGAAGGGGAGGGATGTTAAAAGACATGCAATCAATGTGAAGAGGGGAATTTAGCCTGATTCCTTAGCATAAATGGGCTCCTTCCCTCCCGCAGTTAACTGTGGTCAGATCTCTTATCATAAAACAAATAAAAGTATCTTCTTGTGACATGACAACTCCTTCCTGCTGAGAGAGAATCTGTTCTTTCTTTTGTGGCCAAATTCCTAAGATGTGAGGTCTAAAGACTCTGCCCAACGTTCCCACTGCCCATTCACTAGCCTCTTCTGAGCCCATGAAATTAGGCTTTCCTGTCACAAGAGGGTGTGATACTGACCAGACATGTACGCAGGACAGTGGAACACAGAGGAGGACGCTAGGACCCAGCTTGAGGGACCTCTACACCTGGGGATACAGACACTCAGTCCTACGGATCAGGAAGGGTGAGCAAGGGACTGCAGTGGACACTCCCTGCAGTGGGTGGAGGCTGTCAAACAGCACCGTCAAGGGAGAATGGGGAGCTCAGGCCCGGGAGTCTGCTGCGGCCCGAGTGGCTTATAGCCATAGCGTTGAAGTGTGAGTTCAAGATGGGAGCTGGTAGGGGCTGAGGCTGGAGAGATTACCCTGGGGCCAAATTAAGAAGGACCCTGCAGTCTGTTCTGAGGCAGAGGCAGCTGCTGAGGTTTCTGAGTGTTGCCACTGCATTCAACTAAATTTCCTCAAGGCCTCTGGAATTTGGTGCCACCAAACTACCAACCTTAAATTCCCAATAAGAGTGCTTAACCCACAAGTACAGGAGGTGCTCCACTGTGACCTATACAAGGCTGAACTTCAATCAAGAGTCATTTACCAAATGCCTGCCATGTGCCAGACACCAGTTTCAGTAGATGTTCCTGCAAGGAGGGCAAAGGGGGGGCTCCCCAGCTCTGCCTGAGGACCAGGGGAGGGGCCGGCCAGGGAAGTCTTCCTGGAGAAAGTGCCATTTGAGATGCTTCTTCACACATGTAGAGAATTCCCCAACAGACAGCATTCTGGGCGCAGGAGAGCAAGTGTAAGGAGAGATTGGCATGCAAAAAAGCCCTGGGCAGAAGCTGGCGGGAGGTCAGGGAGGCGGGGAATCTGGACTGCATCTCGGAGCAGGGAGTGCTTTTGCTCATTCTGAGCTTCAGTTTCTCCTCCGGGCATCCTCCCCTCTGCCTCACCCAGCCCCTGACTCTTGTTTCTAAATACAGCTGAAGATCAAGTCTCTTCTGAAGCCCTCTCTGCCTTTTCCAGCCCTCCCTGGCTGTCTCCTTTGAACTAGCAGACTGTGCTACATAATTCCACACTTCATTGCTCTCGGATTGTTTCACAGGTGCTGGTTTTCTCTCCCCATCAGAATCTGGAAGCTTCCAAAGGGCAGGAACAATGCCTCCAACTTCAGTGGGTCCCACAGAGCTGAGCACACAGTAGGCTGTGGCCCCCTCGTGGAGGAGGAGTCGGGGAAAGGGGAGAAAAGAGGAGAGGGCTGCAAATCCAGAGCTCAGGATCCCTGAAACTTGACACTTGACTGAAGATTTGGATCTGTTTTCTGCCTTCTTTCCCACAAAACAGAAAGAGAAGCAAACATGTGTGGATTCAGTAACCAGTGTGTTCGTGCTACCGAGACTGTGGGCATAAATAGACAAGCAGGCTGATTTTGATTTCAAGACTCAGCAACGCCAAACTTCCGGAGGCAGGGAAATCAACAAAGAAAGCTCTAGGACACAACTTCCTCTGAAGCCCTCCCTCCCCAGAAAGAAACCCAAAAAGCTCGCAGGGATGGCTCTGTTTCAGCCAATGGAAACTACAAGCTTCTTGCTCTGCTCTCAGCTATAATGCCCCAGGGGGTGATCCTGTGATGTCATTTAGGATGGAAGTAACAGTCAGGCGGACACGCATGGGTGTGATCATAGTGTTAAAATATGCTTGGTGATTCGCTTTGGCCTGGGCCCCTCCACTGAGAACCCCCTGGAACCTCCCCACAATCCCACAATTAAGGGATGAGCATCTAGCACCACAGACCTTCACCCAGGGCCCTGCCCCCTGGTTTCCCTTCTGACTGGCTGCGCCTGGCACGCTAGGAAGTTGTGGCCACTGTCCACTGTCCACTGGAACAAGGGTGAGGTTGAGTCAGGGAGCCCAGGAGATCTTTGACAGATTTATCACTGCCCAGCCTGGCTGAGTAAATGCAGGGAAAAGTGATCAAATAACACACATTTGGCAAGGGCCCGGCTGCTCCCCACCTTCAGCGTGCAATCACTAACGCCCTCTTCCCGGCACTGAGCAAGAGGGTGGCATCCAGATGCACCTGACAGCCAGACAGGGCAACGTACTGACTGGGTCCTTGCTTAGCAACAGTGACAGGACACTGGAGTTAGCTGTTCATTTGTGAGTCTGGGTGCTGGATAGGTGTTCCAAACACGAGGTGCCTATGTAGCTAATCCATTGCAAAAGGAAAGCCCCCGCCACCAGTTCCCATCCAATGTGGCCTCAGCAGACTTCTAGGACTGCACCTCTCATCCCTAAGACAATCAACCAAACCCACCCTCATCCCTTTAAAAATGTCTTTCCAACTGCAGTTTTCCAGGAGCGTTGCCACTATGCTTTTGTCTTCCCAGGTAGATCTTTTTTTAAAAAACATAAAGGCCAATACTTACATGGAAACTTTGCCAGGCTGCTCTACCTGGTGCTATAGGGGTAGGCTTTTCTGGGATTTCCATGGCCCTGATGAAGGTAGCTGTCTCCTTTTTCCAAGGAAGATAGAGAAGCTGCCTGCCCCTTCCCAGAGTGCAGACGAAAGTGCAAATGATAACGTCTGACCACACTGTTGCAAGGTGGAGATGCAAGTGACTCCCTCACAGCCAAGATTTCCTCTTGCCCCGCCTCAAGGTATCCACGTGCTCCTCCTCTCCCACCCCCATCCCCACGGCCCCCGAGGAGCAGAGAGCGCAGTCCAGGGATTGGGCGCCTGGGACGCGGGAGGAGAGGTGGAAACGGCCCAGGGCAGCCCTGGAGGGGAAGAGGCGCCAGATGGCCACAGGCAGCCCAGTCCCCTCCCGGCTGGGGACTCAGGGTCGCCGCCCAGTCCCTGCCAGGGGAAATGAGCCCTCGCCTGCTCTCGTCCGCTACAGGGCGCTCACCTCCGGGGAAGCCTCCCCGCACCGCACGCGCCTTGGCTCGCTTCTTCCAGCCGCAGAAGCAGCGCCCTACGCGGGGTCCCCGGAAGACGCCGCCAGCCCCGCCCCCAGACAGGCCCCGCCCCATCGATCTGGCCCCGCCCCGTCCCCCCCAACCCGCCGCCCAGGTAACCTTTCAGTTCCCTCCGGTGAGTGGGGCCACATCCAGCTCCAACCTTTGGACATGCCCCGGAGACTGCGGCCGCGGGGACCAGGAAAAGTGTCACTTTGACAAGGAAGACAACAGGGGACTCGTGGATTTAAGGATCAGGAGGCGCGGGTGCTGGCTGCTTGGGGCTCCCTGGATCCCGGGGGGAAGGGGCTGCCTCTGAGGGCTGCGGGCCGCCAGGGCGGGGAGAGGGGGACAGAAATACACACTTTGTATGCTCCCAAAATGTCCCTCGAGATCATCCAGGCCAGCGTTCCCTTCCCTTCCTCTCCGCCGTACAGAGAAGGAAGCCCAGGCCCGAAGACCTGGAGTACTTAGTGGTCAAAGGCACAGCCAAAAGCTGGCGAAAGAGGAACTCGACCCCCTAGTCTCTGACTCCCAGCGCAGTGCTCCTTCCACTACGCCAAACCGCAAGCTAAAGTTGGAACATTTTGTTGCATTCCAGTCAGCAAGGGCTACTGGGTACAGCTGGGAGCGGGTGTGATTTTTGAGGACGGAAGCTCAGGGTTTGTCAGGAGAACTAGACAAAAACAGACCCTTTCCTCAGGTAAGCACGTGGTCCTATTGCCCTGCCTTCTCTCCTCTTTTTTCCTACCTCTTCCCGCGGCTGGGGTTTGCAGGAAAAGGAACTTGTCAAAAGAAGGAAACTGGCTCCCCAGAGGCCCGTGCAACCGAAGGGTTAAAGGGAGGTGACTATAAGAAAGCGGTCGATTGGCTCTCTGGGGCAGAGCCCAGTTCCGGGACGGACACAACCCTGTCTTGAGTAGGACCCGGTGTGGGGGGAACGTGAGGGTGGGCGCACGGCCTGTGCAGGTGGATGAGCCCACCACCCCAGCTAACGGTGGCAGCTCGGTTGTAATCGCAGAGCGGCTGACTCTCCCACCCCTTGGCCGGAGGAACTGGGAGGTAGGATCGGCAGGGTAGGAAAGATGCACATAAAACGAAGCCTGGCACTTAATAACAGCGCAAGGATCTCATTATAGAGTCTTCTCGGCTCCCCTCCTTGGCCAGCAGCCTGCGGTAAGAGTGACAAATTGCCTCGAAAAGGTCTGAAAGGCCGCAGACAGAGCGATGGAACCGCCTTCCTGCTCAACCCCAACTCCACTGTGGGCAAGCTGCCGAGATGGAGGCCCTGCGAGGAGTGGAGCGGGCAAGGTCTGCGGGGGCGCCCCAGGGAGCGCTGAAAGCTGGGATCCCAGCGGCCAAAAGACTTCCTTTTGTGTCGGTGGAACCAAGAGCGTGTGGGCGAAACTTGGTTAATGACTCTGTTTACCCTGCCTTGTCCTGGTGGCCCCGCAAGACCTGCAGGGGCCTGGCAAACCACAGGAGCAAGAGTGCTGGGAATAGGTAGGGGAGGGAGGAACATTCCAGGCTGTAAGGCCTCCCCAGGGTCATCTAAAGCCCTTTCCCCAGGCGGATGCCTGGCTTTGGATACCATTTCCATTCACCGGGTTCCAAGGATTCATGTGCGGCCTGGAAGAACCCTTAGATCCTGGGCTCATCGCGGGAGATGACAGCTTCCACTTGAATGACCAGGACAGCTTAGGGTCTTCTTACGGCTTGGCCCTTGAAATGGGCTGTCATGATCTTTCTCCCACGTGGCAGGGGAGGGGCTGGTGAGCAAACCCTTGGCTGATCAGGGCTAAGAGCGGTCCCTTGCTTTTCGTCCGTTAAAATCCAGATTAGTACACACCCTCAGGGCACTACAAGATGCTTCCAGGTAAAGCCCTCTTAGAGGTGCTGGTCGCTCTCCTGTTTAAACTTCCAGTCACTTCCCCATTCACTGAGATTAGCATCCAGAATGCAGACCAAGGCCCTGGCAGCTTCTCCAGGTTTGCCTCCTAACCCTCACCTCCCAGGCTCCAGCCTCCCCTGCTGCCTTTCACTTGCTTTTGGTCCTAACACACGCTGCTCCTTCTTCCTGGGACGCCCCTTCCCCATGACTTCGCGTGGTCCACCTACCCATTCTCGAGTCTTCTCCCCTCAAATGGCACCTCTTCAAGGAGAAGTTCCCTCTCCCCTCTATCTAAAGTATGCTTCTCCTGTAATTCTTTCTCCTTGTATCCTGTTCTTTCTCTTCATGGCTCCCATCTCCATTTGTAATTTTGTATATTACCTTTATTGTGGTTACTGGCTCAAGGTCAGTATTCCCTTAATACATAATAGACTCAACAGATTCTAAGCTTCATGAGAGGGAAAGCTGTGTCTGATCTGTATCATTTGAAATCCAGCATCTGATAAGTGTCTCCCAATAAATATTTGTTGGTGAATGAATGAACAAATGGATGATATTAGCACTATTCATTTGAAAGGACAAAGTTCAATAAACTCAATAAACTTGTAAACATAAGCATTAGTGACTATTTCTATTTAAAAAGGTAACAACCAAAACAAGATTTCAGGGAAACACAAATTCCAAGGTTTATTAGGTACTTCTTAAAACTAACCAACCATTCAGCAACCATATATTAAGCTTTTACTATAGACCCTGTGCTTCTTGCCAGGGATACAAATCTGAATAAGAGCTAGTTTTCAGCATCAAGGAGCTCACAGCGGGATGGGGAGGGTGGACATGTAAACAAATGGTTATAATATAATATGATAAATGCTACAATATCATATGCACCTTACTTTACCTGGAAGTCACTGCATTCAGGACGCCATGTCATTGCTGCAACTAAAAAGATAATGATAATTTTGTCACCTGGACAGAGCAGAGAGAGGGCATTCCAGGCTGAGGGAACCACCTGCAGAGGAACTGAGGGGAGAAAGAAGGTTGCTTTTTTGGGGACCTGTAACTGGAGTGATAGGTGGGGGCCAGATCGCAGGGGTCTGTGCACATAGGCTCTGCTAAGGAGTTTGGATTTTGCTCTGGCCACCTGTGGGGACTGGGGATCCATTGGGTGGTGTTAAAGCAGTGGTGTGACACCACACCTTCATGTTTGTATATTGGACATATAACCCTAACAGCAGTGTGTAGAGTGAATGGGGTAAGGGATGGAGGGGTCTATAGGACATAAACCCAGCTAGAAGGTTACCATTATTGTCCAAGTAAAGACAATGAGTGTAAATTAGAGCAGTGGCATTTGTTTATTCATTTCAGTCAATAATTTTTTTTATTGAAGTGCAGTCAATTACAATGTGTCAATCTCTGGTGTACAGCACAATGTCCCAGTCATGCATATACATACACATATTTGTTTACATTTTTTTCCATTAAAGGTTATTACAAGGTATTAAACAGTTTCCTGTGCTATACAAAAGAAACTTTTTAAACAAATCTATTTTTATATATAATGGCTAACATTTGTAAATCTCAAACTCCCAAACTTATCCCCTCCCACCCCCTTTCCCTGGTAACCATAAGATTGTTCACTAAGTCTGCAAGTTTGTTTCTGTTTTGTAGATGAGTTCATAGTGTCCCCCTGTTTTTAGATTCCACATATGAGTGATATCATTTGGTATTTTTCTTTCTCTTTCTGGCTTACTTCACTTAGAATGATGGTCTCTAGGTCCATCCCTGTTGCTGCAAATGGCATTATTTTATTCTTTTTAATGGCAGAGTAGTATTCCATTGTGCATATATACCACAATTTCTTTATCCAGTCATCTGTCGATGGACATTTAGGTTGCTTCCATGTCTTGGCTATTGTAAATAGTGCTGCTATGAACATTGGGATGTATGTATCTTTTCGCATTAGAGTTCTCTCTGGAAATATACCCAGAATTGGGATTGCTGGATCATATGGTAGGTCTATTTTTAGTTTTTTGAGGAATCTCCATACTGCTTTCCATAATGGCTGCACCAAACTGCATTCCCACCAGCAGTGTAGGCAGACTCCCTTTTTTCCACACCCTCTCCAGCATTTATTGTTCATGGACTTTTGAATGATAGCCACTCTAAGACTCAGAAATCTCATGCCTACAAGGTGTCTGAACTGGCATTCTCACATACTGAAATATACACACAAAAAATACTTACGGAAGCATTGCTGTAATACCCCTGTGGTAGACAGTTTCTAAAATGGCTCCCAGTGATGTCTTGCCTTTTTGTAATCACTTCTTCTTGAGTGTAGGCTGGATCTAATGACTTGCTTCTAACAAACAGAACATGGCAAGGGTGATGGGAAGCCATTTCTGAGATTAGGTTATAAAATAATGTGATTTCTACCTTGTTTACACCTTCTCTTTGTCCCTCTCACTGCTCGCTTTTATGACGCCAGCTGCCATGTTGCCAGCCACCCTACGAAGAGGTCCACATGGCAAAGAATTGAGGGAGGCCTCTTGCCAACAACCACTTGAGTCAATGTAGAAGTGAATCCACCCCGAGTCGAGCCTTCAGATGAGACCATAGCCCCAGTCAGCATTTTGATTGGAGCCTTATGAGAGACTAGAACCAGCTAGGCTGTGCCTAGAGTCCTGGCTTCCAGAAACAGTGACCTAATACATATTGTTGTTTTAAAGCACTAAGTCTTAGGGCTAATTTGTTATACAGAAATAGATAAGCAATACAATTACCAAACACCCATCAAAAGTAGAAAGGATAAATAAATTGCCGATCAATAATGGTCATATGATGGAGAATTAGACATCATCTTCCAAAGGAATGAACTCTAACTATGTCCACCAACATGGAAGACACATAGAAACATACACTGGGCAGGAGAATCAAGACCTAAGAGAAAAGATAAATGTATTGCATTTACATAAAATTCAAAAGAGGCAAAGCTAGATTACCCAGTTTACATATACATAATTCGGTGATAAACTATTTTAAAGGATCAAGAAAATGATCATTGTGGAAATCAAGGTGGCCAAAGGGAGGAAATACCTTTAGGAAGGAGACCCAGTGGTCTTCTAGGGTCTTCTAGGGTGGGTGGGGTCTGCTAATGTTCTGTTTCTTGACCTGGTGCTGGTCACGCAGGTTTGCTTTAGGATTGTTCATTGCAATGTGCTGCTATATTTTATGCACGTTTATGTAGGTGTGTTATCTTTCATATTAAACAACTGTAAAAGAAAGAAAGGAAGAAACAAAGAAAGTGGAGAGGAAAATCAAGAAAGAGAGGAGCCAAGAAGGCTGTTGAATGAACTTCAAGCAGGCGGGAATGGTCAGCAGTTCTAGAAATCAAATACCACAAAG